CTTGAAAAATTCATATCAGGGATTAATGAAAATGTCAAAACATGCAAGGTGGCACTTCTGTGACGCATTTGACACTCCAATAGGGAAGCAGACAAGAGTGATAATTCTGCCACCAGGAATCCATAATAACCAAGGGCTTATTTGACTAATGTTGCACTCTGATGTAATGGGTGACTCCTCCTCTACGAACAACTTCTTGAGTGGTAGACACTATTATGACTCTTTTTGGTTGATGATTCTCATCTCTGAAGGGTTCGGGATGTAATAACTTGAAGTCAAACAGATGAAGTGCTAATGTTCCTTAAAATGGAAAATATTAGTGGAAACTCAGACGGCAACGCATCTCAACATGCTCTTCCCGAACAGATAATTGGAGGGACAGTGCTCACAACAATGATGCTTTTGATAAATCTGATGCAGATGAAGGTATTGTTCGCAACTTCACAGTTGAGAAATAGCACGACAGAATGGGGTGTAGAAACTTATGAAACCGACGTGTGCTGAGAATAGTCGTGTAATGTTGTCTAATGCGGGTTACGACAAGAATTTTGGGGCTCTGAGGCCTATTGTCCATAAGCTGGCGTGCCATCTCATTAATCGATTAACCCATCCCAGTGCTAATTCCGGTGGCAAACACCTATACGATGGTAATGGTGTTGGGAACCTGCTACTGATTGAATTCCTTACGTGTATTTGGTTCCACATGCATATCATCATGTTAAGGAAGTCGTACAGCGTGGATCAAAGAGCTAAGAAAGCCCATTTTCATGGGGATAAATAGCACCGTTGTTAAAGCATCGGACTTATGGTGCACCAGAATAAAGAAAATAATCTTTAGCAGAGATGTCACTTTGATGAATCTAACCATCGTTAAAGCAAAGGTGACAGTAGCAGACAGATCAAGATGGTCACTTCCACAGCAGCAGAGATGGAAGGAATACCGTGCCCAAAACAGGTGAGTTTGATAGAAAAATTCCAATGGCAAGGTACCGAACCTTGCAGAAACTCCTGAGGTAGAACCGAAAGATTCGAATCGAGACGAGGGTTTCAAACTCCAAGAAACCTCCACAGCACTCTTGAGTCAATTGGCAACTTGAATAGGCAAGGAGAGTTAACAGAAGCTGCCTCGTTTGATGGATATGGCGTTGGCCTATGCATGATCCAATTGCAAGATGATAGCATTCCATACCACTTTCAATGAATCGCCTGTCAAAGTTCAGAAGAATAAAGTGGAGAAATGCATGGAAGATGAAATAAATCCTTTTATAAGAATTCAGATGTGGAACTTAGTTGATCCAACCAAAGGAAAGAAGCAAATAGGATGCAAATGGGTATGATGCAAAGAAAGAGGATTTCCTGACAGCAAGACAGTGTCTCATTATAAGGCAAGGTGGTAGCTAAAGGCTAACGCTCAACGGAGATAATTAGATTATACGATGAAGTATTTTCTCCAGATTGTAAAACATTCCTCCATTCGATTTTGTTAGCCTGGAAGCACAGTTTGATTTGGGAACTAAGTCAAATGGAATGTAAAAAATGGCATTTTTACAATGGAAATTTGGAGAGGAAATCTATATTGAACTCAACCAGAAGGATTCAAGAGTGTTGAAAGGAAATATGGTAGTTAAACTTGAAGAAATCACTTACGGATTGAAGCAATCTCCGAGGCCAGTGGCTACACACGCCGATTTTGATAAGTCCTTACCGCAAAGGCAAAAAGTACACAAAGCAAGTCAAATAAGGATCATTGTGTGTATCTATGGGCTGCAAGCTACCACAGATAGGCTCTTCTCATTTATCTTCTTTTGTATGTTGATATTGCAATCCGATAGCCATTCAAAGAAAAACAAGAAATCTGAGAATTTGACAGAATGCAGCTTGAAATCCAAGAATATTGAAATGAGAAAGAATCTGCGCGAAGCAAACAAGGATCTCGGCATCTGAGATACCAGAGATACGAAATTGGGAACCTTGTCTGAATCGAAGCAATATTTGAGAAATGATACTAGCGTTTTGCGTATGGATGACAAAACCAACCTGTTAGCTACACTCTTGCTACTCATTCAAACTAGCAGTGCAGCTCAAATCGCCAAAAGACATGCAATGACGGGAATCACAGTTAAAACGTCCATATCAATTGCTGTAGGCTAGTCTTGATGTCATGCATGCGCGATGTACTTAGACCAGACATTTCGCAGGCAGTTTGGAGTTTGTGAGCAGATACACTTGCATGATTCCTGCAGACGAGATTGGCAAGCCTGTGAAATTAATTTCTGCGGTACCTTCAGGAACAGTCGGATTTGATTTCGATTTTTGAGCACGCGATACGAACTAGTGGTCAAACGCGAAAGTCGGATACTGTGATTCCATGATTATGCCGTGATATTGATAAGCGCTCGATCGGCAACTACCTAGGTTAGTGTAATCTCTAGCGAAAGCAACCAGTTAGCTTTGGTGAAGTCTATCTCATTACAGCAACTAGTAGCTTCTGTCGTACAACAGAGGCAAGAGTAAAGGCAGTTGACAGAAGCGTAAAGGAAGCAATTCTGGCTCACAGATTGCTTTTGATGAATTGGGGAATAGGCAATACCAACATTGTTCGTACATTTGCGATAGACGAGTGCTATTCCACACGTTGGCAAAGACAAGTTCTACTCCATAGGCAAGGTACTGACATCATATCCACGTGCGATGTCTTCATTTTTGTCAGAGAATTTCATTTTGTCAGAGAAATTCTGGAGGAGGGACTGGTTCAACTCCAGAAGATTCATACTGCTGAAAATCCTGCTGATATGTTGACAAAAGTGGTGACAGCTGTCAAGTTCAAACATTGTTTGGACTTGATCAATATTGTTAAAAATTGAAGCTTGGCACTGCCAAGCATATTTGAAGGCACTACAACTTTGTGAGAGAAAGAGCAGAAGCTTGCATTGGTGGGATTTCGCCAAGGTGGAGATTATTGGTTATGTGGCAAAAATCCCACATCGGGAAACTAGGATTAGAATAGGGAGCCTTTTGGCTATAAAAGGAGCCTAGCTCCTTAATGTGGCAGCCTTTGGCTATAAAAGGAGCCTGGCTCCTTAAGTTTAGAAAAATGCATATACCAAAACTTGCGCCAATTCTTAGTAGATTAGACAAGTCTTTCTCTCACTCTCCCCTTCAAATTTGTATATTTCTTTTAAGTGAAATATAAATTTTGGTCAGTGTCCGACGGTACGAGTTAGTGCAAATTGGCCTCGTGAACCTCGCTTAAATTTCGTTGGGTATGTGCTGCGTTATAATATATTCTTTGTCTTTATTTATATTTAAATAGCTATTGTTATGGGACAGGGGCATACCCAAAATTCTTTTGGTGGTTATTGTCTATTAATCATAACTTCTAGATAAAATTCTGTACCAAGGCAAGGGTGGGAGGTGTGTGAAGTGAGCCCACATTTGTGAACTCCTCCACTTCACCTGGAAATTTACTTAGTGTTTGTACGTAGACCTAACACGCTAATTACAATATGCTATTTCGGCTGAAAAAAAACCCAGCCCAATTTTTCACAACATTGAATAATCCATAACAATAACAAATTAAATCTGTTGGAAACGTAAATTAAAATTAAAATCGAATTTATATCAGCGGCGATTTGAAAGAGATAATCGAACCGACGGTTTCTCGCACGTTTGGTTATTAGCTATCAATAAATTCTGTCTAGGCAAGTGGATTTTAAGTGAGACCATTTGTGACTCCTCCACTTACCTGGAAATTTACTTAGTGTAGTTAGTAAGTACAGTAATTTACAAATTGCTTTTGGTGAAAAAAGCCCAATTTTCACAACATGAATATCCATAATCAATCAAATTAAATCTGTTGAACGTAATTAAATTAAATCGATTTATCAGCGCGATTAAAAATCGAACCGACGGTTCGCACGTTGGTTTAGCATCAATAAATGTATTTATTGTGTCAGGTAGGCCTGATTTTCTTGCCAGCGCGACTAATTAGTACCCTTATTAGATAGTAGCTCAGTGGCTTTCTTGCGACGCGCCCACGCTTGAAACACGGTGCCAACACGTGGCAAATTCTGGCGGCATATTCTTTTGATTTTCTTCAATAGGAAGAAAACGCGAGAGCGCGACGTTATTTCAACGCGAAGGATAACTGGTGATATCCGGTAGCCAAAGACAAAGACCACATAAAGATTTTTATTTCGGGCCCCACCTTTCTGACTCTTCTAGCATTTCTTTAATTAAAAAAAATTTGGAGGCTGTGTTCATTAGGTAGTAAAATTTCTTATTATTGTTGTTGGGCAATGTGCACTTATTCTATTATTTCTATTAAATTTGAGTTCTATTACTCCAATTATTTTATTTTATATTTAAAATTAATTATCTTTATTCAAATTTATTAATACGTATAATTGTTAAAATCAACTTTTAACATGATGATAAATTATTAAAACTAATATATAATAAATTATTAAAACTATATATAATTATATGAATATTTATAAAAAATATTTAAATATATATCTTTTTGTGGTTAACTATTTAAATACTGAAAAATTCTTGTCATACATCTAGTGCCCATACACCAAGTAAATAGCCCATTGCAAGAAATTATTGGAAGATTGATTTTCCTTATTTTTTTATTTATTTTGTACATATTTTTCTTCATATTATATAAAAAAATCTTATAAGGTTAAATACTTTTATAATTTTTTGAAATAAATGGAAATATTTTTTAATACGTTCCAAAGACTAAAGTAGTTTTAAATTGTTTTTAATAATACCATTTTTAAGAACATCCTTAATAATACAATTAAACAATAAAAATTAAATTAGTTTCTTTTAAAGAGCCTAATTTGTCATAAAAATTACGCATTTTCTCATAAAATATAAAATCTATGTATTAAATATAATTTATTTACAGTTTGAAGCATAAAAAAACAAAGAAAAAACCGGCCATAACCGGTCAAATGATCTTCTATAAAACCCCAAAGAACTAACCGCCTGAATCAAATAAATCAGTCTTCTTCGCAGCTCAAATCCCCAAATCTGAAATCATTTTTTCCAAATTCCCTCGCAAATTCCCATTTCTCGCTCTCTCTTTCTCACAAATCCAAACATGGGCACATCTCAAAGTCGCGAAGGTGAAGAACTCACAGACACAGAATCAGAGTATGAATCGCAGGAGGAGGAAGATGAAGCAGAAGAAATCCACTATGACGCCGTAGAGCGCCAAGAAACGCCTCTAAGCACCTCTTCAACCCAATCCAAAAAAGATTTAGATGAAATGGACATGAAATTCAAATCCCTAAAGCTCTCCCAGCATGGCCTCCCTAATCGCCCTGTCAAGCTTTATCTCCACATCGGCGGTAATACCCCCAACGCTAAATGGGTCGTCTCCGATAAGCGCACCTCTTACAGTTTCGTCAAGACCTCTAAAACTAAAGGTTCTGATGATTCTGATCAAGAAGACGAATCTGAGGGTGGAGGTGATTCCTTTTGGATTTTGAAAGTTGGTTCTAAAGTTAGGGCTAGGGTTTCCACGGAAATGCAATTGCAGATGTTTGGAGATCAACGGCGTGTTGATTTTGTTAGTAACGGAGTTTGGGCGTTGAAATTTTACACTGATGAGGAGTATAGGACATTTGTGACCCAATTTCAGAACTGTTTGTTTGAGAATGTTTATGGTCTTGAAGCAAGCGAAGAGAATAAGATTAAAATTTATGGGAAGGATTTTATCAGCTGGGTTAAGCCAGAAGTAGCTGATGATAGGATGTGGGAGGATGCTGAGGATGATGATGCAGCAAAATGCACACCTGTGCGTATTAGTCAGGATTTGATGGAGGAATTTGAGGAGGCAGCTAATGGCGGTGTTCAGAGCTTGACATTAGGTGCTTTGGATAATAGTTTCTTGGTTAATGAATTGGGCGTTCAAGTTTATAGGAATTATAATAAGGGTATTCATGGTAAGGGAATTTGTGCAAAGTTTGATAATAGAACTGAGACTAATTCGGTGCAATCTACCCCAAAAAAGGCTATGCTCATGAGGGCAGAGACAAATATGATGTTAATGAGTCCGCTGAAAGAAGGGAAGCCACATTCAGCAGGGCTTCAGCAGCTTGATATTGAGACAGGAAAGATTGTGACAGAATGGAAGTTTGAGAAAGATGGCACTGAAATTACAATGAGGGATATAACAAATGATACTAAAGGGTCTCAATTGGATCCATCAGAGAGTACGTTCTTGGGTTTGGATGATAATAGGTTGTGTCAATGGGATATGAGAGAGAAGAGAGGTCTGGTGCAGAGTATTGGTGATTCGCCAGTTTTAAATTGGAGTCAGGGGCATCAGTTCTCCAGAGGGACCAATTTTCAATGCTTTGCTAGTACAGGCGATGGATCAATTGTTGTGGGATCTCTTGATGGTAAGATTAGGTTGTATTCAAAGACATCAATTAGGCAGGCTAAGACAGCTTTTCCTGGGCTTGGCTCTCCTATTACTCATGTGGACGTTACATACGATGGGAAGTGGATTTTGGGGACAACTGATACATATTTGATCCTCATTTGCACTCTGTTTACGGATAAAGATGGTAAGACTAAGACAGGGTTTAGTGGTCGTATGGGAAATAAGATACCAGCACCAAGATTATTGAAGCTAATTCCCTTGGATTCACACTTAGCTGGAGCAAATAATAAATTTCATGGTGGTCATTTCTCATGGGTAAGCACACATATCCTTTCCCTGTAGAATCATTTAATTCATTATTTCTGTTGTCCTCTATTCGTTGGCTTTTACAGTCTAATTATGCCTTTTCCCCCCACAATATCAATGCATATTTTCTGTTGATATCATCACGAATTTCACATGATATTGTTGATTTTTTCATCTTTGATTATTGATAAGTCAAATGCTATAGTTTTCTTGGATAAATAAATGAAAGTTTCTTGTTCATTATAATGCTATGAGGTTGTTGCCAATTATATGATGTATTACAACTGGTTGAATCTAAGGTTGTTTCTAAAAGAAACGCATTCAAAATGGTAGATGGAGTAAATTCAAGATAACTACTTCGCACATCGAACATAGTAATGTTGCAGCAAAGAGATACAGTATAATTATCTTGCTGGATAAAGTCATTTTCTGTTTTTTCATTTGCATTAGCAAGGGTGAGGAGCAGTCAATGAATCATCAAATCAGACAATTTTTCTAGTTTGTTGCATTCCAAAGAAAGAAGCCTGTGAGTTTAGTATACAATCTGGCGTGCTTTCTATCCATTTAGCAGTTAAGTTCTGTGAATCTGGTACATTAAGCTGTTGACATAACTTAATGGCTCGCATGTGCTATTCCTTTGGCAAATTAGAGATCATTCTGGCAGTCTGCTTTAGATTTTGTTTGTATGCCGTTGTTCAATTAATGTATTTTTACTTTATGAAGATTCAAAACAGACTGGATAGTTTGTTTTTATTACATTTGGTTCATTTTTATTTTCACAACAATTGTTCTCATCCTATTTCCCCCAACCCAACGACTGCTTTTCTAAATATTCAGTTACCTGGGTTCCTTTGAAGCTAATTTTGTAGTTTGTGTCCTTGAATAAAGTGATGCCATTGAGTATCTTGTTTGACCTAGCTGGTCTCTAAATACACTGGTTCCCTTACATGGCATAAATATCATTAAAATACCACAAATAAATAATCACAATGAAAATTGGATTATCATTACAGAAAAACATAATGAAATATTCTGATCACATTGTTGAATCATAAAATCTGCCAGTGTGTCGACTCTATGGAGGTGGAGGTGCATATCGATAGTATTTTATTTCTATTTCTTATTATATAAATGGAGAAATGGCTTGAGTTGCATTTAGTTGGGTCTGATAATTAATTCATACTTGTATTAGCCATTTATGTATAATTTGGAGTCAATTGCCTGATTTTAATTGCTCTGGTACATTCATCTTTTAAGACAAGTTATTCTTAGTCTTCCATGATTAACTGGATAAACTTAAGCATTTTTCTCACATTTGATGTTGTCTTTTAGGTCACTGAGAGTGGAAAACAAGAGCGGCACCTAGTTGCCACAGTGGGAAAGTTCAGTGTCATATGGGACTTCCAGCAGGTGAAGAACAGTGCCCATGAATGCTACCGGAATCAGCAAGGCCTTAAGAGCTGTTATTGTTATAAGATTGTGTTGAAGGATGAATCCATTGTAGAAAGTCGTTTCATGCATGACACTTATGCTGTTAGCGACTCCCCAGAAGCACCATTGGTGGTGGCAACTCCCATGAAAGTCAGCTCTATCAGCCTTTCTGGCAAAAGATCACGGGGTTGAAACATTTTTCCTAGTATGTACAAATTATTTTTCTGTTTGTTGTTTTTGCTGTCATTTTCAATTTAACTAATTCTTTTTTTTTCCTCATCTTGTTTTGGATCTGGGTTTCTGCTTGTATATAGTGTGAATATTTAAGTTGGTCAGACCATGTGCAAGGATTTTGAATGATTATTGTTTGCGAGTGTCAAGAAACTTCCCAGTGAGAAAAATTTACATCCAGTATATATGGAAATAGTTTCTTATTCACCATTTGCTTCTGTGACTGTGTAAAAAGAAAAAAAAAAAAAAAGAAAAAAAGAAAAAAAAGATTAATATCTTTTGTTATCATAATGTCTGTGGGATTGACACTTTGAGAGTATGAAATCAACATATTTAGTTCCAAGTAATTACCATCTCCAGTTATTGAAACAAGTTAAGAATAATTCTCTCTCTGCTTTTCTTCGCTCTTTCCCTTTATTCTTTTCTTCCTTTAGCAGATCGATCTAGCTAGTTGCTCTCCGACAATGTTTATTCGTTGTCCGCGGCAACCACTTCCTTTCTTTACATTTTCTAGTATTTTATTGCATTTAATTATTCTGCAGAATTAAATCTTGTTCCTTGGGAAAAAAAGAAAAAAAAAAGTTTAACACAAGACAAGGAAGAGACTTGTTAATTGCCTTTCTTCTTTTTCAATGCTAAGGAAGGAGGAAAACCCAAAAGAAAGATTATACAAGTTTTCTAGAGACATTTGAATCAAAGAAGAAGAAGGGTCTTCTACCACATAACACCTCTGCTCTTGAGTCATGCATCAAGTTCTCTTCAAAGCCATGCTAGCTGAAAGAATGTTTCTAAACCTCATTGAAGATGTACAAATATCTTTCAACATCTTTTTTTTTGTTTTTTTTTATTAAAATCAATAGGTATAACTTATAATTTCACACTAAAAATATATGTTCAATTAAATAAAGGTACTCATATTCGAATGGCGGCTCAAGGTCATTCTTATGAAAACCATAGATTTCTGAGAATGTGCTACCACGTGGAAACTATTTGTATGGAATATAGTGGGCCAAGAATGCTTGATTTATCAATTTATTCTACAAATTACTGGGAGCTCGTTTAGCTCAAGCTAAATTAATCTTATTCTGGGTTGGAGTAATAGCACTATTTGATGTGGCTTGTTTCATACTACAGAAAAGGATTAACTTACCTACCTACTTGGGTTAAGTGGTAGGTCCTAGCGGAGAAGTTTTACCTTTCAATCCAGGGGTAATTACTATATAGTTCCTTTATATATACCTTGTTATATATATATTTATATTATAATATTATATATATTATATATATATATATCAAACATACTATTAATGGATTTTGCGTTTTTAAATATTACATATTACTTTCTATTATATACTATATCAAACATACTATTAAGGATTTTGGTTTTTTAAAATTACATTATTTATTCTTTCTATTATAACTTTGTTATACTAGTATAAAGGTTAGTTTTCTGTTAAATGATTGTTAAATATTAAAAACACCTTTAAAGAGAAACTACTATATAAGGACTATGCTCGGCGGCCGTGTTTAAAGTAGTATTTAATGTTTTGATAGAGTTGAAATACTATTTTAATTAATTATAAGATTCGGTAATACAATTTTGAGACAGTGTTTTATCAAACATTATTTTCATTAACGATTAGCGTTTTATAATTTCTTTTTCTTTATAACACCTATGTCATCACTTGTCTTTACTTTGTTCCTTACTTTCATACTTTTTTTGTCATTTTATATTAAATAGCTAATCAAATAGTTATTAGTATCGAATACTTTTATTCTAAACCGCTATATAACCTTTAACCACTAACAACTAATATTTAACAGCTAACCACTATTAAAATCTATTAAAACAGCTAACAGCTACTAGAACAACTAAATTTATCAAACAGATCCAAGGACTAAATAATATAAAATTATAACAGGTCTTTACTAGTGTATTTCACCAAAACCATAAGGACTATATAGTGATAATATTTGGAATTACTTTTATATTTTACGGTCACGATTAAACTTACAGTGTAACATAATTATAATGTAAGGATTAAATAGTATAATTTTAGAAATAAAGATCGTTACTAGTGTAACGAGTAAAACGTAGGGACTACATGGTAATTACCCCTTCACTACATTATATTTTTTTTACACTTTTTTTAATTTCCTGGGCAATATTTGCCATGCACTTCTTGCTATTAAGACCTTTGCAGAATATTTTTCTTTTTTTTTTTTTTATGGTTATGTATGGAAAATTAGATTTAAAATGACAATAATTTTGAGAATTAACCACATGAATATTCATATAGGGCGATCCTTCTATTGATAGATGTTTCTATCCCTTTATAGTATTTGAAGGATGAAAACAAGAGAATTTAATTAATGTATACATCACAAGTCAAATAATTTGTAAGAGTTAGCCCTAATAGTGGGCAAATGCGTATTTTCCTAGCTCAAATTCATCCAAATCAAACCTTAACATCCATACAGTAAGAGATCATCCAAAATACTTGAGGGGTCACCAGAAGAGCCTCTTGGGGCTTAAAAGTAAAATCCATACCCTGGTTTTGAGCTTCAAGTGTGGAATAATAGACTTGGAGGGTTCTCGTTAAAGATTCCAATGAAGATTCAACTTTAAAGAGAAGACTTTGGGAAGAACTTCAGTTTATTCTTAATTTCTCTTTCTTTTTGGTTGCATTTCAATGTGCTTTATTGTTTTGTACTGAATATATATATATATATATATAGCAAGTATTTTTTTTTCTTAGAAAGTTGACGTGTGACATATCCACTTGACATTTTAATTTGACACGTGGCATATTCCTTCAATTAAGCTTTCACTTTGCATGGTTTGATTTGATTATTTAATGTATCAGTGTATTGGCTTGGTTTGGTTTGAATTTAATTTGAATTAGTATTTTTAGTTTGGTTTGATTTGATTATTTAATGTATTAATGGCTTTAAGTAATTATTATTTATTTGAATTAGTATTTTTAGTTTGGTTTGATTTGATTATTTAATGTATTAATGGCTTTAAGTAATTATTATTAATTATTAGTTTTTAAAAAATGATAGAGTTTAATAATAATAAATTATTCAATTAATGTATTAATATATTGCTTTGTAACAAATTTTTACTCTCAAATTTGTAAAGTAACAAAAGTTTCCTCTAACACCCATTAATGTATTTTTAACGCTTTCTATCTAAATGTTTCCATTTATTTATTTATTTATAAATGATGTAGTAATGCACTTTTTAAAAGTTTAAATTGTTTACCCTTAAGAAACACTTTAACTTTTTTAGAAATACTATATATAAGCTGTATCATTATATTCTTCTGTATTCTTGGCAAATGTGTATTGGTCTCTGCTTTTAAATATATTATTTCCTTTTTTATAAAGTTCAGAATTTTCTACATTTCTTTCCACTGATGGGATCAGTAGTTTTTACTCAAATTTTTTTTGTTTCTTTTTCTAAAGATTATTTAACAAGTTTTTGTAGCTGTAAACTATATATATATAGCAGGCAGAATTTTCCTTAATGTTGCCACGTAGAATTCCAAATTATGACATGTGTATGACTTAATTATTTATTTTTATATTTATTAAAAATAAATTAATTTATGATTGAATTAAACCATATCCATCTAAATCTTATATTGATAATTATAAACTATTATGAGGAATAATAGGTGTTTAAGTGTAAACATATTTATATAACTTTAAATGATAAAATAATTACTCATAATTTATAAATTTTTATTATGACATGATGAGGTATTATTTATATAAAAAAATTAAATATATTTTATTAATTAAATTATTGTTATAATATAATTGATTAAATAGTATTTAATATATATGATAAGTTGAAGATTTATACAAATTTTAATTATTTCAAATAAATTATTTATTCAGGATTTGTTAATGGAAATATAACGAGTTAATTATTTTTACATTAATTTTTAAAATAAATCAAATAATGAAATTTTAATGAAATAACGAGTTAATTATTTTTTACATTAATTTTAAAATAAATCAAATTAATGAATTTTACTGCCTTTCATTTTACTTTTTTTATTTATCTCTATAAATTTTAATATTTTTAATCCATATTTCTAAACACATGACTATCTACTAATTTTTACTTTAATAATAAAAAATACTCTATATTTTTTTTAATATTGATATATCTTTATAAAATTTTTAATAGTATAATAAAAGAAATTTCATTCAAGAATCTATAAGTTATTTATATATTCTCTCAATTTTATTCCGTGCATAGCACGGGTATATTGCCAGTTTATTTATAAATTAAAGTTCTGCTTGTTATCAGAAAATAATTTACCTTTGAAAATATTTTTCAAACAACTTATTTCCCATTATTTATTTGCAATTTTAAAAGTTAATTAAAAAAATACCAAAATCTGCAACTCATAATCCATAAAAATATTAATAATAGAAATTTCATATTCTAATAATTTTACTATTAAATATGAGAAAAATGCAAAAAATTGGTAAATTATAAAAGTCGCTAGTAATCCATGGAGGTGGCTGAAGGTGAATGATGAATCGTGGTAGTAGCTACCGATGATTAATAAATTAAAAAATATATATATTTATAAGGTCATAATAAGTTTGTTAATGTCAAGAAAATATGTTACTCTCTTGAAAATGAGAAGTTAGTTTCCTTAAAAATGACTTAATTTTTCTTTGACTATTTTCCATTAATTTATTTTCCTGAACGCTCTAAACAACGGAAAATTATAAAATATATTTTTATATAAATTATTTTACGGAAACTAACGGAACTCAGGTCTTTTCTAGGGTTGGATCTAGTATTTATTAGTTCTATTTGGTTGTGAATGACTAATTTCTTCATTAATGAATGTTTATTATCTTTGATCCAATACTTGTGGGCATTAATGCTGATGGATGTGTTGGTAACCACATATATATAATTTGAGTTGTCTAAGTTACATATTGGAAAGACGAAGCTTGGCAATGGAATTCCTAGATATTGAACTTTGGATTTTTAAACCAAGAAATAGAATAAACCTTTGAGGGCCAAAGGATATCAAAGAGATTAATGAGCTTCAATTGATATTGTACTACAAAATAATGTGTAATTTCAATTCTAGTACATCCTTTATAAATTGAAAGAGGATTTAGAATATTATAGGATACTCCTCCTCCAAGATTGATGCTCTCAATTTAGG